AGACCAGAAGCCCCAACTGCTAATGTAGCCTTAGGCAAGAACTCAATAGAATTTTTGATGGGAAATTTTTAGAACAGAAATAAGTATTGAAGTCAAGAGTGCCAATGAAGAACAGGATAAAATATTACAGGAGATATATACGCACACACACAGGATTTTGTCATCTGAAGTAGAACTCAAATGCTACCCATGATTCCAAATTTGTGTTCAGTTTGTTTTCAGTTACAGAATTCTCTGTTGAGCTCTCCACGTGTGCAGGAAATGAGACAGACAAGAGTCATTTGGTTCAGTAATTAGCTATAACAGAAACTACTTCACATAAAATACTCAGCTCCATTATTATTATTTAACAGCTTTTAATAGATTGTGCTAACACAAAGGAGAAATCACATGTAAGGCACTCGCATTATTTTGTAGCTCTGAAATTCATCCAAAATGCTCTGACTCCTCCACACATCAAGGAAGCCAGAAGCTCAGCCAAAACCATGAACGCCGCATGGCACCATTCAGCATTCTGGAACAATTTCACTTATCCTGATCTTGGATTCTGTAGTCCTTGACAGAAAAAACAAAAATCCTAGAATACCACAAACAGCATCTCTAGGTGTCCCCATGAGGCAACTCTCAATTTTCAACTCAGTTTCCTGCAGGGATCTGATATAAATAACTTCGTTTGTCACTGCTGAACATGTACCCAATGGTTCCATGCAATTCCTCCACCTCCCTGGAAGTGTGACAGTGACAAATGAGCCATTGAAAATCCAGGATCAGATCCTTTGGAGAGGAAAAGTTGATTTTGGTGCAAAGGTTTTTGAAATCCACACATTTTTCCAGAATACCAATTTTCCATGACATTTTGTCTTTTAATCTTAAAATATTTCAAATATCACTGAAAAGTATATAGAGTTCAGTGAATATAAAAGTTCAACATTTTTAATATTTTGTCATATTCACATGTAAATTTTAGTATGCACAAATACAATTTTTAAAGCCACGGGTTACATATGAATATCACATAATATGGTAATTCATTAAGCAAAATCATAAAATGAGGAAAGAAGTATAGATTTGTGAGTATCTATAAGGCAAATAGTAGGACATCCACACATTTTAAAAAAAGATTTATCTATTTTATTGAAAAGCCAGATATATGGAGAGGATGAGAGACAGGGAGGAATATCTCCTATCCACTGATTCACTCTCCAAGTGGCTGCAATGGCTGGAGCTAAGCTGATCTGAAGCCAAGAGCCACGAGACTCTTCCAGGTCTCCCACACAAATTCAGGATCCCAAGGGTTTGGGTCATCCTGAACTACTTCCCCAGGCCACAAGCTAGGAGCTGGATGGGAAGTAGGGCTGCCAGGATATGAATGGGCACCCATATAGGATCCCAGTGCACGCAAGGCAAGGACTTTAGCTACTAGGCTACTATGCCAGGTCCTACATCCACACATTTTAAGAGATTTGTTTATTTATGTGGCAGGCAAAGTGACATAAAGACAGAGATATTAAATCTGCAAGTTCACTTCACAGATGGCTGCAATGGCTACGGCTAACCCGGGTTGCAGCCACAGTTTCGTGTGTGTCATGTGAGAGCCAGATGTATAAATCATGGGCCATCTTCTCAGATTCAATAGCAGGGAGATAGATTAGATATAGAGTAGCTGGACTTCATTAAATCAGAGTTCTGATCTAGGATGTCAGCCTGAGAAATGGCACCTTATCCTGCCAACCACAAATATTTTAATAGACATATATATATATTTATATGCATATAAATACATTTATATGCTGTAATATTTATTAATCCTGCATATGAGAGAAACCATGTGATATTTATCTTTTTAGCCTATAGAACTTGAGTCCAGTTCTACCCATTTGTTTTCTATCCATTTGATCATTATTTTTTTATGGCTGAGCAAGATCCCATTGTGTGTATTGAACATAATTTCTTTATCCATACACCCACTGGTGGACATTTAGGGGAGCATCCTGGGTGTTGACCTGCTCAGCATCCTCCTGTAAGTGAATGTAACGTCAGATCCCTCGCTGTAAAACTGGCATGCCTTGATCTCTGTTACCTGATTCTGTTACATCTCTTCTGATTCTTAAGCCTTTGCATGTGTGGGATTATGCTTATCTCTTGGTATGGACTGCCTAACAAGTCTTTACCACAATCTTAGGAGACTGGAACTGGTATTTAATAGTTATGGCCCAAATGAGTAAATGGAAACACAAAGAAATGAAGGTACAGTGAGCTGGGAAGCAGTGAAGGCAGGCACGTGAGACACGCTGGTGACTCCAGCACCTGCAACGTCTCTTCCCACAAGTGAAGAATTACGTCAAATGAAGAGTGGCCAATGCCACGGTAGAAACATGCCTTGGAAGTAAAAGAAGAACAATCTCAGGCCTAGTTCCCACAAGGAAGAGGATGCACCTTGGCCAGGAGGACCAGGGCTGGAAGAAATACAGGAATTGAAGTTGACAGGTCAGAGGGAGCACCAAAGCATAGGTGTGAAAAATTGTCATCTGAAGTTGGCCTTCTCCCAGGGCAGAGTATAGACGAGGGAGACTTAACAGAAGGCTCTAGAAAGAAGAGGCAGCTCACAGAACCAAGAACAGAAAGGAGGGGTGGGAAACAAAGATTCACAGGCCAGGATCAAAGGGGGAGTCTACAGGGCCTATTGAATTTTGCAATTAGGCCTTCATTATTCATCACAAAAGCTATTCTTCTCTCTGCCTGCTGATGATCACCCGCGTGCTCTTACAGAGCCCTTGCAAGCACTCTCCCAGTGCTGTTCTTATCTGCAGGACAGTTTCCCAGATGACTCAGGGCAAAACCCAAGTCACAGAGGCTTGAAAAGCTGTGTAGTAGGGGAGTGCAGTATGCATTTGGAATGAATAGGGATTGAGTCCACACCAAGGACTGGTGATGGTGTCAGTCACTTTAGCACTGCTTTCTAGTGTCATCCTAACGAAACTCACAGAGGAATGTGCTGCCCTCCGTTTGCACAGAAGAACCTGATGGGCAGGTGTTTGGCAAGGTGGTTAAGACACCACTTGGGATACTGCATACCATACTGAAGTGTCTGGTTCGAATCCCAGTTCTGCTTTTCATCTAGCTTTCTACTAAGGCGGCACACTGTGGGAAGGCACCTGACCATGCCTTGAATACTTGGCTCTGGGCCACCTATGTGGGAGACCCAGATGGAGTGCCTGACTCCTGGCTTTGGCCGGTCCAGTCCTGGCTTTCGTGGTTCATTAGAAGTTAAGCCACAAAAGATTTCAGCCTCTTTGTCTCTGTCTTCTAAATAAGATGCAAAGACATAAATAATAGTTTAGAAAACACCAAACAGATCTGAAGACTCATTGTGACCCACAAGTCCACTTTCTTTCAGAGAGATAAGAGCTACCCCAGACATTGAGGGTTTGACTTTACCTGGCCTGGCACTGAACTAAGAACTTTGGCATTTCTTGTCCCTGAAAAGTTCAGTTTAAACACTAGTTCTGTCATCAATGGTGTAAAGAACAAAGGGCTCATCTCAGCAGTCAGACGCTAGCGTTCAGAGCTCAGCTTTGCCATCTACTGTCTATCCTTTGCCTCATTTTGTGTGTAAAATGGGCTTTGCTGTAAAGCTTTGATGATAATATCGGACACAGGAAGAATCACAAGTGTCCAGGGGGTTTTGGAGGGTGGAGGGGGAGGCAAAATGAGAGCTGACAGAGAATCAGGAAGGATCAGAAGGCTCGCAGCTCTGTCAACGTTAAGGGTCTGCTCTAGACTCAAACTTGCCATAAGCCCTTCTGTTTCACCATTTCCCCATTTCCCGCGGATCGAAGCGGATGAAAGTGGGGCCGTGGTGTTGCCTTATTCTTTATGTGTCATTCATAAGAGATCAGCTTGCATACATTTTCGCTGAAGGGAGGGTGAAGACGCAGGAAGTCAGGGTTAGTATGGGCTCTCAGAGTCCTAGGAAGCCATGGCAACAGGTGCAGGGATCCGCAGGCATCTCCTGAGAGTGCCAGGCAAGCAGGCAGGGATGGAGTTACCGTCTTGAATTTGGGAAAGAGAGAGAGAGAGAGAGAGAGAGAGAGAAAACAAAACAGAGAGAAACTTCTATTTCTCCGCTTCCTCCTTGCCAGCCCGAATATAGCCACTGGTCTAGAAGCGATTTTTTTTTTTTCTTTCCTTAACTCCCTCCCTCCTATTCTTTCCTTCTTCCTCCATGATCTGCTTGCTTTCCGTTCCTCTCCCCGGCACCCCCACCTCCGCCTCTGCTCCCTCGTTTCTCCCTCCGCCTGCTGGTTCGCTGGATTCTCCCCCCCACCCCCCCACCTCCCGCCTCACTTCTGCAGGGGCTGTGGCCAGGTCCCAGCAGCTGAGAGGGCGAGGGCCAGGTTAGCTGCGCACGGATCAGTCCTAAGAAGAACCAAGTCAGTCTCTCTCTCCCCCCCCCCCCCCCCCTCTCTCTCTCTCTCTCTCTCTCTCTCTCTCTCTCTCACACACACACACACACACACACACACACACCCCACAATCAAAAACTCGGACCGACCTCTGCGTCTCCTCCAATCCCTGGAAACGGCGAGCGAGCGCCCTCCGGACCGCTGCGCGCACCCCGCTCGGGCACCCAGCCCGACCCCAGCGCCTCCACTCCGGCCGGGTGTTCCCGAAAAATCAAGCCGGGAGGGAGGGTAAAGACAGCAGCCTGAAAAACACCCGGGCCACACACACGGCGACCTGAAGCTCCTCCGCGTCCGAGTAGACAAGGACCCCGTAGCGCCCCGCGCCTGTGAGGTCCGCGCTGCCGCGCCACAGGAGCCCACCTGCCGGTCCTCGCCCCGCCAGGACAGAAAGTGGGACTAGTCGCTGTCGCGTTCCAGCCGCACCCAGCTCTCCGGGAAGCCTCTCCCTGGCCGGGGTGACTGTCAACCCACGGCTGTGCCCACCGGACCCCCGTGCCTTCGGAGTGCCCCCTCCCACCACGCCGCGCAGGGACCATGGCAGGGGCGCGCGGGCTGCTCTGCGTGTGGCTGAGCTGCGTCTGCGTGAGCCTGGCGCGAGCAGAGAGGCCGAAACAACATTTCCCGGAGCTGCGCATAACTGGGCCAGGGGAACGCATGGCAGGTAGTGGCCTGGGCCAGGAGCTGCAGCCACACGACAAGGTGTCGGAGCACATGCTGCGGCTCTATGACAGGTACAGCGGCGGCAGCAGGCTCCAGGTGGTGCGGGCGCCAGGCTCCCGGGAGCGGGGCTCCCAGCCCGCGCGCCACCAGCCCCTGCGGGAAGGCAACACCGTACGCAGCTTCCGAGCCGGAGCAGCAGGTGAGTGCACTGGGTGAACCCCCTTCCACAATTCTGCCCAAGCTTTTCTCCCCAACCAGGATCCCCAAGGCCTCCTAGCCCACCCTGGGCTCCCTGGCGCTGCCCAGGGACCTTTCCGCGCCCTTCCGCAGCTGCCCTGTGGAGCCCTGCGTCCTGTCCCAGCCCACTTTCTGCCGGCGGCCCGGGGTGAGCCCGGGTTTCAAGTCCAAGGAGAAAAGGAAGGCACACGGCTGCTGGCTGCAGGCACTTCGTGGGAAAAGGCCGGGGCTACTCCTCGTGCTTCGCCTCCCCGCTCCCCACCTCCCCCGGCGGAGCCCTCCTGCCCTGGGCGACTGGTGCACTTCTGGGGTACCTCATACTGTGATGACTGCTAACTTGGCCAGCGGAAATTCCCCTGGGCTGGGCTGGGCTGAACCACGATTGCCAAGAAGCAGATGCCATTTTATGCCAATCCAGGGATCCTGAGAGAAAAGTCACACTTAAGCCTGGCCGCTTTCTTCCTTTCCTTGTAGGCAGTGTTTTCCACTGATCTGGCACCAGCCTTAAACTCGCACCGTCTGTGTGACTGTACTAATCTCACGCACTGTGACTGTAGCGGAGCTTCTATGTGACAACACACAGAGCCAGGTGGTGTTGGGGTGTTGCTTACAATCATCCTAGCAGGTGGGGTTTCCGCAATCCACCCTAGGAGGAGCGGGGAGGGAGGGGTAGAATACGAGGGAGCATCCGTGGACATCAGCAGCTCTTGAATCTGCCGATGAAAATCTGCTCATCCCATTTTTCAACACAGATCAGCACCAACTGAAATTCATGGCTTAACAGGGTTTCTTGCAGCCCCTGTGGTGAAGCCAATAATTTATGCTAACAGCTTCCCTCCCTTGTGCTAACAGCTTGCGGGAAAGTTTCCTGGACACAAACTCTGTTGATTGGCTTGGAGGATGCACTAGGCTTTTTCTTTCGCTGTGTTCACGATAAAGGGAAGTGTAAACTGCAGAGGCTGTCGTCAGTGAACCGTTGAAAAAGAGCGAGGAATCTTCAAGGAAGGAGGCCATGCCCCCAATCTCTGTCAATTCTGTCAGAATCACTAGAAAGCAAGCCCCCCGCTCCCCTCCCCGAAACCTAGATATGTAGGACTCCTAAAAGAAAAGGTGGAGGGGAGGAGAAAGGAAGGAAGCCAATGTATCCATCAAGGAAAGCCCTAAGCTGACACTGGAAATGTACTCAGAGCTCCTAGCCATGATGACATTTACAATAAATGTGAATTATGCCTTCTAATACTCGAGTCTTCGGTTGGAGTCTGAGCAAAACCAGATTTCTGCTTAAAACCATGAACATGATCTGGAAGATGCTGGACTCCACTAAAGACCCAGCAACTGACCTTGTGTTACCCACAGTGTCCCAACCACCGGAGGAAGCCGCCCTGACAAGTGAGCACACCAGAGAACCTCTATTAACGTTAGTTCTTGGTCCCCAGCAGAGCCTCAGCTGCTCCTTCACGGGAAGGAAGTTGGGTAGGCAAGGGAATTGAGAAGAATGCCAGCACTGAGATCAGGCTTGTCACTATTCATACCTATGTGCTTCATTGTACTCCAAGAGAATAGCATAGGCACTCAAGAGACAAAAGTAATTTTTTTGTTGTTGTTGTTAATCCAAAGCTCTCACTTTGAATAGGAACCACAGGGCTTGGAAGTGGAATTTGACTCTACTTCATTCACACCCACTGTATAACTTTTTGTTTATTTTAGGCTGAGTGCACCATAGACAAGGATTTGAATAACTCAGGCACAACATACTTTTTGGCTGCAACTCAGTCCACGCATTACAATTTCAGAGTGTTCCTTATCAGCCTCGCTGTAGTCTTCTACCATCCAATGATAAACTCTGATACAGGGGCCAGACGTTGCCTGGAAATGATGAATTGCAGCTTGAAGCATATATACAAGGCTGTGTGTGCTGATAAGAAAAGCAATCTCTCTTAGCATCCTAGGGCCTGTCTTAATGACTTATTCATCAAATGTAGACACTGTTTTTTGTGGAAGCTGAAGTGTCGTATTACCTCATTGGAGACTCCTGGAGAGTTGGTTCATGTTGGATCCCTTCCAAGGGGGTTTAGTTACTAAGGCACTAAAAAGGCCTTATTATAAGACAGGTCTGGCTGGAATAAGGCAGGGCTCCAGGAAGGTGCTAAGGTTTACACGTATGTTGCTCTTGCTACATCCGTAGCAGCGTTTCCATAAAGCTTGTCACATTGTGACCTGTGCTCTGATGTCAGCGAAAGGTGCTGTCTGCATTAATAAGTTAGATGTGTTTCCCAGTCCAAACTGCTTCAGTTTCAAGCCATACAGGCCTTGTACGAAGATATTACATATCTTAAGAGCAGGTTAGGTGGTGGGCTGAATATAATGGAGTGACTGCTAAGTGCTTATTTGGGCTCGATCATAGTCTTAGAGACCTACTTGCTCTTTGGGACCTACAGGATTAAAGTTATTTATTATTTTAAACCTCATATGTCTTTGGTTGAAATTCAGCTGCTGTGGTCTCCTTCTAACCACTTTCTACTTAAACCCACTACTGGGCTGGTGGGTGGCATGCCATCCTCTGAACTCCTTTCTCCTTCAGTGTTAGGTAATTGGTGTGCCAAACCCTAGGTTTTAAGTGTCTATAAGCTTTTATTTTGTCAAGTGTAAAGAATCACTTAATCTTTCCCTTTGTGAAAGGTAATTTTAACAATATTGATGCACAAGAAGTCCGGCATGCAAAGTACATTGTCTTGAAGGGGGACAGAGCAATGTGGAATCAGCTTTTATTTTGCTGTTGGCTACTATTTTATTTGTTCCCGGCTACTGTGACAGCTATGTAGGACTTTCTCCTGTCTGAATCCTTTGTGTAATACTACCACAGCCAATTAACCTTATGCTTCTTAATCATAGATAAACCCTCTTAAGGAGAGTCATTAAAGCAGACATGTTCTTGTTAGAAAATTGGCACGGTTTGTGCAGGAAGCCTAGAAAGCATTTACACTTCAGGGAGCATACATTGCCTTTTAAAAAGATCATGTGTATTTCATGGATAAAATTGAAACTTAAGATAATCCCTACTTGAAAATTAGCCTTTTCCGTCAATGAGGAATGGTCCTTCCTACAGTGACCAACATATAGTCTGAAGAATTGTGGTTTTTGAAATGTTTCTAAAGTGCAAGACCGAAATATAAAACTTTGGGAGGTATAATTCACAATTAAAGATTGAGATTATTACTTCAAAAGATGTCATTTGTTCAAAACACGTGGACCAGTGGGAAAGCATCATTTTTCACAAACTAGATGACAATGAACTTTAATTGCTGCATTAAAACGTAGAAGCCTTGAATACCTGGCATCTAAAAACTGGACTTGAATTAAAGAGCACTTAGATTATCTGGTGGATTTTTTTAGGGCAATAGTACATCTGGAGAGGCGGAACCTTACGTCCAGTTGCGTTGAATTATACACTCAGTGCTTTGAGTACATGATCGCCTTTAATGAAGTTTTTACTGTAACAGTCAAGACAGCTTTACAATTTCTGACATTGAAAAATTCATGATACCATAAATTCTTGGTTATCCATGCTAATGGAGAGGAGAAAGGGAATTGATTGCAGAGAGAATCATTCAAGTCTAGCTTTGTAATATAGTTAGATAACTTCAAAACAATTAAGGAACCGTAAGGGCCAATGAGAGAGAAAAAAAATCCTAAACAGATTATCCACTCAAGGAATATTTATGCATTAAAATATATACATATTTTTAAAATAATTAAGAATGATATGTGCATTTTAGCCAATCAGTGGAAGTTAAGTACTTGATTTAATGAGTTCAGATAATTCTGAAAATTAAACTGACATGATTGTCAAACTTTAGTGTTCTTGCATTATAAAATTTTGTATCAGGAAGAGGTATTGATTCTTTTCCTTCCATATGATGATATTTCTGCCAGATAATTTTCACTAGCAAAGAGTTCATCATAAAATTCACTGTTTTTAATAGTGTGATGGAATTTTTCCTGAGAAAATTTCACAAAAAGAGGTTTCTGGATGATGATAAGAGGTGTTGCATAAGATCAAGCTATGTGATCACATAAACTTTTGGGAAAAAAGCAATCATATTTCTTTGCTGTGGGACTTTGCAGAGCCTTTTAAATGCTCTTGGTCCTGTTAGAAGGGACATGCTTTCCCCTGAGGAGAGAATTTTAGAGATTGTTGGATCCACGATGCTTACTGGGGGACATCTGTGGTTGACAACACTCACAATTTGGCAAGAGAGAAGGTATCCCAAACTCAGAGTGACTGCAACTGACAGCTGCCTCATTCCTCACTTCCCATTCAGCATCTCTCTGGATCTGACCTTGAACGTCTTCTTGGTGTTATGTTATAAACTTCGCTGCGTGCAACTTTGCAACCTCATTCACGAAATTTCACCTTTCCTCCTTGATGTTTTCTTCTATATGCTTCATATTTACTATTTCTTGACAGATATTATGCTTTATAAAGAAAAGCAATTCCATTTGTGGAAAATCTCAGTAGACACACATATCAATATCTGGAGGACAGTATCATTTACTCAACACATCTATCAAATTCATCATATAATCACAATGTTTTATTGCATTTGATAGATACAGTAAAAATTATGCCCATGGAAAAGCCTTATAAAAGCTAATGAGTGACTTGGCCTCTGTTTCTAGTAGCAAGTCAAGATTTCTGTTCTATTATATCAGTGCTTTCTCAACAAGTCTGGATGATTTTCCACCTGCTAAATTTGTATATTCTAGTAACCAACTTTTATCTTAATAACTTTATTTTTGTGGTAGTAGTGGAAAGAACTCTGGCATCAAACGGTCTGAGCTTTAATTTTCTTATTGAGTGAATATTTATGTCTAAGATATGAGTCCATGAAAATAGAATTATTTATTTATTTGAAAAGCATGGAGACAGACAGGCAGGGACCCTTTGATTCATTACCTCAA